ATGCTAAACGTGGATTGATAAACTGAAGTTTGCCGTGGCCCCTTGGCACGGAGGACACGCAAAATATAAACTTTCAATGGTTATACGGATGAATCCATAAAAAAGTCTCCTTCCCACCCCAACGTTATTCTTGCACCTAATTCATGATTGGGAAGGTAGTCGAGGGCATATATTTGCGTAACGTTGCTTACCAGATTCATTTGCGTGCTAAACCCAGAGAAATAGTTGTCACGGCACCGAAAGAGATGCCGTCTTTGACAGTCATAAAACTCGTCTGACGATTGCACACAGAACTTTCCACAGACGCTGACTGTCTCGGCCGCCAGTGAACCAGCCTGTTCTGACGAAATGCTGGTAACTGCTCAATGCGTTACAAAGTCAACGGCCCCTGCTCCAGTGAGTCAAAAGAAGAAGCGGACAAGATCTGCTCGTAAAACTTCGAAGGGGCTTGAAGACACAGGAACCAGTAAGACGCCGGCAATAGAGCGGAAAACCTACGCTACCGTTGCTTCGGCGTCGTTTGGGAAGCCAGGGACAGTCCCACCGCCAGCGGTGAAAGCAGCTGGAACAGGTGTCGACTCCAAGGCACGTGGGGTAAACACTCCCCGTCGTGCCGACTATTTCACTGATAGTAGCGTTATATTCCGTAACGTTACTGAATCTGAGGCCGTTCTCCCAAGGGAACGCATCTTGGATGACATCAAGTGGCTGAAACTGTGTGTCAGCAAGCTGCTTCCACCTGGTTTCCCTGGTGTCACTGTCAGAAAGCTGACCAGATTGGGGAACGTTCCCGTCGCTACGCCAAATCCACGACCCCGACTACTTCGCGTAGTCCTTTCTACCCCGGAGGAACGCAAATCGTTACTGCGATTTGCATTCAAACTTAAGGGTAGTGGTGTCAGCGTTCAGCCGGACCTACCACTGGCAGATAGGTTGAAGTTAAAGGAGGCTATCAAAGACCTCAAAACTAGACGGGCGGCTGGTGAGCAAGGCCTCCGTCTGGTGGGTTTTCAGGTGGTCAGCCGGAAGTTACTTTCCGCCCTATCAGAACCAATCCTGATGGCGCACGACCCAGGGATGGTCGTGCCGACTTCCTTGAGGTAGTACTTAGCAACGTGCATAGCCTAAGGAACAAGGTGCACGAGTTGGGTCTACTTGTAGACAAATCTCGTCCCGACATACTTGCTTTCACTGAGACGTGGTTGTCTCCGGATATCACGGACGGTGAGGTATACTTACCTGGCTACGCGCTGCTTAGAACTGATCGCTCCGTTGGTCGCCAAGGCGGAGGCGTTGTACTGTATGTGAGCTGTAACTTAGATGTGTTGAGGACTTGCACATTCCAGTCGTCGGATCAGACTGTTGAAGCCCTATCGGCTGTTTTGTGCACTTCCTCTACCCAGTTTACAGTTATAGTGATATACAGAAGTCCTGGAAGTTCCTCCAGGGGGATACTTGACTTTATTCGCACTCAGTCTGCGAATAAGTGTTTAGTTCTAGGGGATTTCAACCTCCCGGAAGTCTGTTGGGCCGATCTTTCTTGCAATTCGGCATTAGGAACATTCGGTGCAGACTTCCTTGAACTGACTCTCCAAGTGCCTTTGCACCAGTTCGTTGACTTTCCCACTAGGTATATGGACAACCAAATACCATCTACTTTGGATTTGGTTTTCGCTAAGTCCCTGGACTTCGTGACTGACGTTTCATGCGGTGCACCTCTAGGGTCTAGCGATCACGCATGCATATCCTTTCGATGTGCTCTTTCAAGGCACCAAGAGACCGCTGTTGAATTACTTCCGAATATTTGGCGGGCGGACTTTAGTGCAATGCGAACTAAGGCTTCAGTTCTGAACTGTGAGATCTCGATGGCTGACTCTGTCCAGTTAGCCTGGGATAAATTTAAGGCATTTCTTACGGAGGTTTCCACTCCCTATATTCCACTCATGAGGAAAAGAGGGTTAAGGGCACAGCCTCCATGGATAGATACCACAGGCAAGTTCCTACTCAAGAAACGGTCTAGATGCTGGCGAACCTACCAAGCAGCTCCATCAGCCAGTACCTATGATAGTTATCGAGAGAATAGAAATAAATGTAAGCAACATCTCAGAACTGCTCGTCTCCAATACGAGCAGGGTTTAGCGGACTCGGCCGCAGCTAATCCCAAGAAGCTTTTTGCTTACGTTAAAAGACGCAGCGGGGCCAAACTGTCTATACCAGCTTTATTGCGAGCAGACGGGACCCGTGCGCAAACTGACTATGACAAGGCTTGTATACTGAGTGATCAGTATACTGGGGTCTTTGCTCGGGAGACCTCTTTACCACAGGTTGAATTGGTTTCAAGAGTTCCAGAGGATTCTTGCTTAGCTGAATTTAGCATAACGGAGACTCAGGTCTTCGAGCTACTGCAAGGCATTAATCCCTCTAAAGCTTCCGGTCCTGATTCAATTCATCCGAAGCTGTTGCATGAACTGGCCACTGAGCTGAGTGGTCCGCTCACTTGCGTATTTTCAATATCGCTGGACAGCTGCATCCTACCTTCGGAATGGAAGGAGGCGATCATCTGTCCGATTTTTAAGGGCGGTGACAGCGCTCTACCCGCGAACTACCGGCCTGTCAGTTTGACAAGCGTAGTAGTCAAGTTGTTCGAGAAGCTGATAAGGGATTCAGTGGAGAACCACCTGAATCGATTCAACCTTCTCAGTGTTGCACAACATGGATTCCGCAAAGGATTTTCATGTCAGACTAATTTACTTGTAGCTCGTGAAAGCTGGGCCGAAGCGGTAGACAGTGGCCACGCTGTAGACGTGCTATTCGTAGATTTTTCGAAAGCTTTTGACACTGTTCCACATCTTCGGCTCTCACTAAAGTTGAGATCTTACGGGATATCTGGTCGCGCCCTTCAATGGGTGTCTGCCTTCCTTGAGGGGAGGGAACAGTGCGTACGGGTGGGGCGTAGCCTTTCGCTCAGGCAAGCTGTCCTTAGTGGCGTTCCGCAGGGCTCGGTATTGGGGCCATTGTTGTTCGCGATCTATGTAAATGACTTGCCGGGAGAGCTAGGGGTGTCATCATTAATGTTTGCTGACGACCTTAAGCTCTGGAATATTGTGGATATCCCGGGGGTCCTGAGGCAATTCAGCGTGCCTTGGATAGGCTCTGGGAATGGTCTATCTTATGGTTGATGTCCATAAATAGGGCCAAATGCTCTGTTCTCCGAATCGGAGCTGCCAATCCTGCCACCCGATATGTTGTCGGCGGTGGTGAACTCCCTGTTGTCACTCAGCAGGTTGATTTAGGAGTCGTACATGCATCAGCACTTCATTCTGGAGACAACTGGAAGAAGGCTGCTTGTCGAGGGTCTCGTATGATGTGGTTTATCCGCCGCTCTTTCGGAATCTTAACGAGCAATTTGTTTGTGAAGCTATTTTCGGCATTCGTCCGACCCCACCTGGAATATTGTATTCAGGCTTGTCCACCATGTCTTAACCGAGACAAAATGGACTTGGAGAGGGTGTTACGAGTGGGCACTCGGTTAGTGCAGGGTCTACGGGGACAGACGTATCCTGAACGTTTGCTCAGTTTGGGTATGTACTCTATGCACTACCGAAGGATAAGGGGGGACCTGATTCTCACTTATCGTATTTTGACGGGTAAGATTGGCCCGGACTTGTCAGGGCATTTTAGTCCCGCTACGTTACCTAGTCTCCGCGGTCACCCACTGAAATTGCATAAACCACGGTCTGATAGGATTAGGACGGAAACTCGTCTATCGCGCCGAGTTATAGATCGCTGGAATTCGCTTCCAGATCATGTGGTTAGGGAACCTACAGTTAGGGGTTTTGCGCGCCAGCTCGATGCTCTTGGGTGGCAAAAGCAAACCTTTCCTTTTTCCTAGCCGACTCACCTTCACTTTTCAGTTCTTTTTTATTGACTCAAATATCTTGGTATTCCACTTGCTTAGCTCTTACCACTTTCTCTTTTGCCTTCTGCGTTTACCTTTTTTCTCTTTCTTACTTCACGTAACCGACCCAGCAGGGACTGCTAGGGCAGGATACGTGGGCATTAATTGGTTGGACAGGGTGTGATGCGGTCTTTGTTTTAGGTCCATCAGTATTTCAAAGTTCGCTAACTCCTGGTTTAACGACCCGCCGAAGAAGAAACACTCACGGGATAATCCTATCGTTCCAGTCCCACTTGAACTTGAACTTGAACTTGAAATTTCCTTCACATTGTGCTCGTAAGATATTAGCAAGTTACCACGTAGCTAACGTGGCCTTCATTAACTATGGTAGTACACTACGTGTAATTACCTGATTACCGCAACCCGCTTTATTCATTTTCACGGGATCTTTATTAGCCAAATATCTTAAAAATTTCTCACGCCTTTCGCTGCTAAGTGGAAATCGGTGGCAGAACAAGGTTAATTTCGATTATCCGCCTCCCCTGTTTTACTGCACGCCTTCCAAATTAGGTTGTGTAAAAGTATCTTTGGCTGCCCATCTTGAGAACGAACATTTAGTTTGCAGTTGGACTCATGGTAAGTTCTCAAGGTCGAACGTGTAATTTCCCGGTACAGACTGGTGGAACTTTACCGAGCCGATACACAAGCGCTGGAAGCAGCGCAGTATTGCTGAGATTCTCGGGAATGGAGTAACTGATCGAAATGTAACCTTACAGGCATAAAGGACAGTCGAAAAATATAAAAGATAATAAATTCCAGTGTCTTAAAATTACGGAAACCCGGATGTATCACGTCACCGTAATCTCATATTCTGATCCCATTCGGTATTGAGCAGTGTAATATTACTTCATTTTTACTAAACTTCTTACTACCATTTGGAAAATCATCGTACTTTTATATATTAAACTGGGTAAGCTGTACAACAGGAAAACACTAGATAAAATAGCAATAATGCACACGCACCTGAGTTAACATTAATGGGTTGGATCGTGTTCCTCGGGCGTACCCAGCCACATGGCCCCTAAAATGCGCCCTACCTGAAATGTCAATGTCACCGTCCATGTATTTAATGCTTAGTATATACTGACCACAGAATTATCCATCCATTTTTTTGCCTAGTTGGTCTCAAGCTTCACTGCGAGTTCGGTTACACACATTACAGGATATGGGAAGTTGCTTTGGGCTGTTTCGCAATTCCACCCCGTTACTCGATAATTCAGAAAGTGATTCATCCCCATCGGATGTTGCAAATTTCAGCAGCTCACAGGTAATTTGACAGGGAAATAACAAATTTTCTGATGCTTTGTTACTCTCATTTCTGCTGTTTCCAAATTGATAGAACGATACATCAACCATATCACACATTAAACGGAATATAAGACTGTCGACTTCGCTTTTTGTACATTCATAGACACTTATCTCGTTTAACTGTGATCCACCGGTTAACCATTGCGATTCGCTCATCGAAATACCTTTTGATCTACCGAAACTTGTTTAGTTCTGTCCTGTTTTCTTTCTGACACAGGTTTATTCCGTCCGTTTTCTTGTGATTCGGACGGGTTTTGAGGTGCGCAACTAAATCTTCTGCTTGTCTATCGATCATCATGGTGTCCAAGTGTCTTGATTGTTTTAAAGGTGCCACTACCCGTTCAAAGGCTGTTCAATGTTCTTTCTGCGACCGCTGGTTGCATATCACTTATTGTGGTATCATCAAATTTTTATGAGTTTTCAGCTGTATACAGCGTCCTCTCTTGGTATCTTTTGTGACTCTTGTCTTACTTTAGTCAACACCCAGTGTGCTCAGTCTGGTTTATCTGATTTTACTCCCTGCTCCGTTAGTGGTCACTCCGATCCCCAACCGACTTTCCAGAAATTTGCCTTCTTTTCCTTCTTCGTGCCTTTCTTTAAACAAATTTCTGTCCTACTCTCAAAGTCTTGAATGGCGAGTGACCAGCCCAGTAAGCCCTCCTCAAGACGTTTGCTACCGTTGTCAAGACCACGGCGGTCGCTCTTGCCTGCCGGATTCATGCTGTGCATAAGTATTAGCCTATAGCCAAACCTGTAGAAAACAACGCGTCACCTCCAAAGCGCGGGCTGAAATCAGTTCTTCATAGGATCGACCATTTGGAGTAACTGTTCAATGACAAGCCGCCTTCTAAGCCACCGGTCTCCGAGACCGCCAAAGTCCCTAACCGGGAACGTTATCTCATCATAATGAACTCCCGGGAGTCGGATAAATTAACAGTAGCATAGGGAGTTTTGGATGATCAATTATCTCTAAAACGGATGGTCTACCTAACGGGGATTAATATCGTCTCTGCTTTTCGACTTGCCAGAAAACATAAAGATTCTTCCAAGATGCGTCCCCTTAAGGTTGTATGCCAAAGTGGAAATGAATGCTGCCGGATCTTTTGACGGACTGCGCGCATCAAGGGGGAGCCGTTTCAGGTGTTACGGGTTCTGTCCCCGTAGGACCGCGTTAAAATAAAGATTACAGTCGATGAATTGAGAACTCGCCGTGCGAACGGTGAAACCGACTTGCGTATTGAGGATTTTCGTGTGTTTCGGAAAATGCAGAGAACGCACTGGAAGCCAGTTCTTGTTCTTCCCGGACATTAAGATCAACAACTGGATTGCAGGTAGTTTGCGAACGTGCGCAGTCTACTTAACAAACTCAATGAAGTTGTGCAGCTTGCGTCAGTCATCATCATCATCAACAGCAGTACATCAGCCATTTGAGCTGATGCTTCGCTGCCATACAACCATGAGGACCTATGAAATAAAGAATAAGAGGAAGAGAAAGGGGACTTACCTGAAAACCTTAATGCCCTAAGCAAACATTCAGGGTCAAGGCGCCTACACCTTGTGTTAACAACATACCGTCACAAACAGCTGGCTGTCGCGCAAAGATAAGGCGGCATCGGCGAGACAGCTTCCTTACGGCTTTCACTGCCACGCGTCACAATCAGCCATTACCCCGCAGATAACTCAGCACCAAACATACTTTAAACAGACAATCCGATTAGGAGACGGCAGCAGACGCGCCATTGGTGTCGGCTGCGAGCCATGTCCTGTAAAGTCTCGAGCCAAGCACAAGGTGAGTCACGTGGACTCCAACCCGGAAGGCGAGACGGACCAACGGCACCCAGTTTGGTCGTCAGTGACTTCATTTCCTGCTGCCAAGTCAACTTCTGTCCACCTCGAGCCTTGCGCCATCCGACACCTGGTAGACTGAACAAGGCCCTCCTAGGTAAGCGGTGACCAGGCATGCGTAGCACGTGCCCGAGCCAACGTAACTTATTCAGTGCTATCTGTTGTTCTAGGGAGCTAGCATGATTGTCACCACCTAGTACTCGCCTACGCACATCATCGTTGCGGACACGCTGGTGCCATCCGACACCAGCAATGCTTCGCAAACAACGATGATCAAAGACTTGAAGGCGCCTCAGATCTTCAGACCGAAGGGGCCAAGTTTCACTACCATAGAGCAGAACGGCCCTCCCTGTGGCCTTGTATACACGGCCTTTCAGACGGAGGGAAACTCCCTTCTGTCGCCAAAGATGACGCAGGTTCAAGAAGGCAGCTCTGGCCTTTGCAATGCGTGAGCTAACGTCAGTTTCTATGCGCCCATCATTGCTGATGCAGCTGCCAAGAGAAGTGAATTGATCAACCACCTCGAGTTGCTCGTTAGCAAGCGTCAAGAGGTCATCCAGTGGCTGGTGGTCCTGCAGCAACACTTTGCACTTTGAAGGTGCGAAGTGCATACCAAATAATGGAACCACTCTGGATAGGCTATTCAGGGTTGATTGTGCCGCCTCGACATTGTCGAAAAGCTAGACGATATCGTCCGCATAATCTAGATCAACTACCCGTTCTCCAGGCAGCACTTCAACGCCTACATCGTGAGATTCCGCAAGGGAACACTCCAGTCAGTACTCCTCCCGTTTATGGAGACATGGTTGTCCCCAGAAATCCCATATCCCGAAGTACATATTCCTGGTTACAGTCTCACGAGTTGATCGCATTGGTTTGAGGTCGGGGGCGGCGCCACACTCTACTGATAGGAGAATCTGAAGGTCCTTGTAGTTGATGTCTTGGGAAGTGATGTCTGCTCCGAAGTGGTTTGGTGTTGTATTCATGGTGGATGTAAATCGCTCCTTCTGGATGTCTTCTACAGAGCTCCCTTGCGTTCTGGTGATCGTTCACTGGAGTATCTAAAGAAGCATGGTGGAAATAAGAATTATTAGTGGGGGACTTTAATGCCCCTAATGTTGATTGGGATCTTCTTCACTGTAGTGCTGCACCTGCCTCCGATTCTACGTTTCTGGAAACTGTTCTTGAAAGCAATTTCATTCAACATGTCACGGCATCTACTCGCATTATCACTGGTCAGACGCCGCACATACTCGATCTTGTGCTTTCGCCCGCACAATCGGATGTTTCTGATTTGAATGTTTTACCACCAATTGGGAGGAGTGACCACTGCCTACTTTCCTTTCACTGGACCACTCGGTTGAGCATTCACAACCACTGTATCTATCGTCGGAATTTCTGGCGTTCTGATCCAAACCGCTTGAAGATGGCCGCTAGCGAGCAGGATTGGAGTCTTCACCAGCACTTAGATGTCGATGATGCTTGGAGCCTTGTTTACTCGAAAATGTCCCTCATTGTTGTTGTTCCCATACAAACGAAAACCATTTACTAGAGGTCCCCTGGATTGGCCGAGAATTACGATCGCTTATGAACTAAAGACAAACTTTGGTATTGCTACAGGCTTTCGAGTTTGGAAGCTGATTATAGAAATTATAAATTGTTTCGGAACGTATGTACGACGAAAAAACGTACGAAACGGCAACAATACGAAGGTCATCTAGCTGAACATTCCAAGTCTATACCGAAGCTGATTTTCTTCTACTTGAAAAGGATCACTAGAGCCGGAAGTGGAATACCGTTCTTGCATTCCCACGCTCTTAACACCGTGCTCCACGATGATGCTGATAAAGCTAGTCTTTTAGCTTGCCATAATTCATCGGTCTATTCAGCAGGGATGTCGTCAGTTGATTGTTATTCGTCCTTGCTCTCTGTTCTCAATGCTATAGACATAAATGTTAGTATGGTATCCAAACTTTTGTGCGAGCTGAATCCAAACTCTTCCCCGGGACCTGATGGATTGCATCCTCTTTACCTCAGGATTGTGGCCCAATATATTGCTGTTCCTATCCGTCACGTATTTGGGCGCTCAATTGAGGCCGGTCTTCTTCCGCTTACCTGGAAAGTGGGCGTAGTCAAGCCCATATAGAAAGGAGGAAATCGACAAGATCCTACAAATTATCGGCCCATCTGTCTAACATCTGTCGTCTGCAAGGTTATGGAGAGGATTCTTAAGCGAGCTCTCAACATGTATTTCCAGAACCTCAAGATCATTTCAGCTGCGCAGCATACGTCTCGTCGTTTGCGTTCATGTGTCACTAATCTTCTGGCAGCTCGAGAAAAGTGGGCTAAATCCATAGATGCTGTTAAGCAACTAGATGTCGTATTTGTGGATTTCAGTAAAGCTTTTGACAAGCTTCCACACGAAATTTTGCTTAGCAAACTTTGCAGTATTGGTGTTTTAGGAAAAATCCTCTCTTGGCTCACTGGTTTCCTGCATGACCGCGCTTTCCATATGCAAACAAATGAGTCCCTTTCCTTCCCTGTAAATATGACCAGCGGTGTTCCGCAAGGATCTGTTCTTGGCCCTGAACTTTTCAGTCTTTGTTAATGACCTGGCGTCTGTACTACGGCCAGATTGTTTGATTTACGCAGATGCTTTAAAGCTATGCATAGAAGTCTCCCATGTGGATAAAGGCTCGATTCGCTGCATGATTGGTCGATCAGGTATCAGTTACCCATAAACCACTATAAATGTTCTGTTCTTCCGATCGGTGCCTCCGAACCATTTGGAATTTACCTGTCGGTGGGTTTTTGCTGTCAAACTAATCGTGAGAGGGACCTTAGCGTTGTTGTGACCCCAGACCTAAAATCGACTGAAGATACCTTAAGGAAAATCGCTTCTACCGACAGGTTGCTTTTCGCCATTCGACGGTCCTTCTCCCGCTTGACACCGGAGATCTTCAGACTTGTGTTCACTTCTCATGTACGTCCGATTTTTGAGTATGGACTGCCCATTGAAAACAACTTGATTACAAAAGTTCAGCGGAAAAGATTTAAATCCATTCTGGAGTTACGAAACCTGTTTTCAGCGCCTGAACATGTTCCCCCTAGCCT